TTGGGTATGTGTTGCGAATGCCTCCAGAAAGGAAAGCGAAGCACCTATTTCTGGCCCAGCTGATCAGCAGAAGGCCCATGGGACAACCAAGACTAACCTGCTCTAGACTATGGCTGTCTTCTGCCAAAGCTCAGATTTTGGCACAGGATCAGGAATGTTGGAAGCATTGTTTCACGCGTCTGCCTCTGCTATCCGAAAAGGGAAACGGTCATGGAAAGTGAAATGAACTGTTAGGAGGTTGCAAGGCAGGCAAAATAAATTCACTACAAATATATGTAGATATAAAAGAAAAAGTCAAGTTATTGCTGTTTTGTCGTGATCATCTTAGAGTAGCAAAGGATGATGCTGATTAATGCCGCCTGCTACTTAAAACGGTATTTAATATTGATATTAGACAACGTTCACTGCTGCAGCAAAGGTCACATTTCTCTCCGCAAGCGAGTCCGTCTTAACGAAGTTTTCTACATTCGCATTGACTTCCAATGCGTCTTGAGTTAGTGAGCGGTTTGCAACAGAAATCTTTTGAACATACTTACATCCTCTTTCCTGACCGCTTTAAGAAAATAAACCGGGCACCTGTCGTTTAGTTTATCGGATGGTTTTCTAAAAACCAGCTCGTTTATGTGCCAATGGCACCATCGAATATTTCGCGCACGTAATTGGAAGCTATCGAGACGAGCTTCACGAAGCTTCAGGACAGCAGATGTTTCGAGACTGTATATCAACATTGGTAATATGGCTGCTTTCCTAATGATGATCTTCGTGTCTTTTCTTATAATCCCTTCCTTACAAACTGTACATAGCCTGCCATAATTCGCTGATGCCAATCCAATAAGCCGATTCAATTCAAGATCAGTGTCATATTATTAACCATCACAATTCAAAGGCGGTTGAAACGATCCTCAGCGTACATCGTAATATCATTCCATAGTACCATTGGGCTAAACGGTCACTGCAGACACCCACAAAATATATCTTATTGGTATGCACTTATAGCATCACTACCACAACCATATTGCCCATGGTTTAAGTAAGTGAAAGGAAGCAACTTCAGGAGTAGTTCAGCAGCACAATGTCGCGACGCTGTCACACTCAAGGGGCGTTAGGAACACAGCCGGATACCTCGAGCTGCATCTCTGCATGACAGTCAATCCCTTGCTGTAATTTGGGACGAGGCTGTTCTACATATATACGAGAAAATTGCATAATAAAATTAAAATTCATGGCTACCAACGTTGGCTAACGAAAATATGACGATCAGTAAATAAAAATCCCGTTTAGGCCCTCAAACAGAAACCATCTGAAAAAAAAGTTATTCACAGACCAAAGGGCTGAGGGCCACCTTCTGCATAAACCATCAAAGTACGGTTAAGTGTTATCATCGCGGTGTATAACATCCAAGTGCTGGAATACACCGAAATACTAAATGAATAGAAGATACGGACGACACTTGACGAATGACCTAATGTAATAAAGGAAATATTTTTACATCATTTGCAATGGAAGAACGAAAGAACTCTGCCGTAATAATGCGATTGAAACTTGTTCATCAAGATATGCCATAAGTTTTTACCAAGCATGGATACCTCCATCAGTTAGACTGGGGTGGCACAAACTTTTAGTATTAGCCATGGGAGTTGACCTACAGCACGGTCCTGTGATACGATTTCTCGTTTAAAATAGGTAAATCCGTAATTACGCTTTCAATCCGCCAAAATTTCAATACCACTTGAATAATATCATTATATTGTATACTATTTGTAGATTATTATATACAATGAACGATCTTTCAAATTCAGCCACAATTCCACGACACACAAAAGGGGCGCAAACTAGAAGATGCATTAAAATCGGAATATCTAACAAGTATTTTGCAATCTGGAGATGCA